CCAATGATGATGATGATGGTGGAGGTGACGGTGGCGAGGAAGGAGGAGGAGGAGGAAGAGGAGAAATGGGGAGGAGTTACGGAGCGTGGAGTCTTTGCTGGCTGAGAGGGATTTTAAATGGCTGCCGGTGGCGCCGCTAAGCTAACTGTGACGCAGCTTTGTTTTAAAACATAATAAAACAGCTTTAAAACATAACAAGGCTTCAGGTGATAGCTTGCTCGCTAAAGAGCAGGCTAACTTAGCCTACAGGACGCTGATATACCTTTAGATTGGTCGTCCTTTTCAGTTCTGATTAGCCTGGGGCTAGCATTCCTCAGACAAAATGGCCGCCTGTGGGCGCTAAGAGGGGCAAACGATTTCCTATTTAAAGCTAAGCTAACTGTAATGCAGCTTGTTAGCGGTGTTAGCTGGCTTTAAAACACGGTAAGACTTCAGGTGATAGCACTGCTCGCTAAAGAGCGCGCTAACATAGCCGTCAGGACCCTTGACACAGACTGGAAGCAGTTTTCAGTTCAGATTAGCATTCCTCATTGAAACCAATGCCTCCGATAGCCTCAGAGCTAATAACCAAATAATCAATCAATCTGATTCTGACACGCCGCCAGAGATGGACCAATGTCAGGAAATTTAAATCAGCCGAGCTCCAGCTGAGCGGTAACTTAGAAAATGAAGATTGGCTGAAGGTGGTGGTTGGGGGGGGGGGGGGGGGGGGGGGGAAGCAGGAGACGACAGAATGGAGGATGAGCGGATGAGCTGAAACGTCTGGAGAAAAAAACAAGTGTGCATTTCTTTGTTTGATGGTTTATTTTTTCCCTGGTCGATCTCCTTCTGTGGGGGTGGGGGGCAGGACGGTGGAGGGCGGGGCTGGGGGGGGTAAGGGTAGGTCAAAGGTCATGGTGTATGTGTCCGGCGGCTATCAGCTGCTGTCGGGTGACGGCTCTCGCTCTCGATGCATGGCGGCGCTCTGGTGTTTCATGTTGTCCAGGTACTCCTGCTGAGAGACGGCCAGCACCGACGCCAGGATCTCATCGTCCTCCCAGTCTGTCAGACCTGCAACACACAGACCAGAACACAGACCAGGTTACAGACCAACAGACCAGGTTACAGACCAACAGACCAGGTTACAGACCAGGTTACAGACCAGGTTACAGACCAGGTTACAGACCAACAGACCAGGTTACAGACCAGGTTACAGACCAACAGACCAGGTTACAGACCAGGTTACAGACCAGCAGACCAGGTCACAGACCACTTTACAGACCAGGTCACAGACCAGGTTACAGACCAACAGACCAGGTTACAGACCAACAGACCAGGTTACAGACCAACAGACCAGGTTACAGACCAAGTTACAGACCAGGTCACAGACCCAGACCAGGTTACAGACCAGGTTACAAACCCAGACCAGGTCACAGACCCGGTTACAGACACAGACCAGGTTACAGACCAGGTCACAGACCAGGTTACAGACCAGGTTACAGACCCAGACCAGGTTACAGACCCAGACCAGGTTACAGACCAGGTCACAGACCCAGACCAGGATACAGACCAGGTCACAGACCAGGTTACAGACCCAGACCAGGTTACAGACCCAGACCAGGTTACAGACCAGGTTACAGACCCAGACCAGGTTACAGACCAGGTTACAGACCCAGACCAGGTTACAGACCCAGACCAGGTTACAGACCCAGACCAGGTTACAGACCCAGACCAGGTTACAGACCAGGTCACAGACCAGGTTACAGACCCAGACCAGGTTACAGACCAGGTCACAGACCAGGTTACAGACCCAGACCAGGTTACAGACCCAGACCAGGTTACAGACCAGGTTACAGACCCAGACCAGGTTACAGACCAGGTCACAGACCAGGTTACAGACCCAGACCAGGTTACAGACCAGGTTACAGACCAGGTTACAGACCAGGTCACAGACCAGGTTACAGACCCAGACCAGGTTACAAACCCAGACCAGGTCACCGACAAGGTTACAGACCAGGTTACAGACCCAGACCAGGTTACAGACCAGGTTACAAACCAGGTTACAGACCAGGTTACAGACCCAGACCAGGTTACAGACTCACAAATAACAAATCATAAATGAGGAGAGATATGACCCGGGAGGAAACCAGGAGAGGACGATGAAATACAGGAGGGTTAGCATGTATGAGCTAACAGGAGCTAACCTCTGTGGCCTCCATGTTTACTTCTGTACGACGTTTTACTCTGATATTTAAACTTTCATGTGGACGTCAGTCAATGAATCTGAATAGAGCTTTAAGGCCTGCAGGGTGAATACACAGTGTCCAAAATCAACTTATTACACTGACTTCATCACAGCTGACCACATTCAGCCAACAAATCCTCCCGCTGCAGGATTAAAGTCATTATTTAGAAAGCAGCTGGTTTTATTTGTCCTGCGTTCAGCGATTATCTGTCGAGAAAACACATTTTAATGATGGAACAGACAGAAAGATTCTGCTGAGCCGTCTCTGTCTCACAGCTGTGCTGCAAACATCTGATAAAACTCAATCCTCAGCTATAAAAACACTGAAACTGTGTGTTTCTCAGAGTGAAACTGGCTTCACCTCATTTAACCTCACACACACAGAGTTTCATGACTGCCGGGGACGTTACACCGACTTACATTCGTTCCCCAGAGACGTACCCTTCCTGTGACCTCCCAACATTAAACAACGTCTTCACCCTAAAAGTGACTGATGTACGTTTACATTAGTAACACCCGCCCACACACACGCCACGCCCTGCTCCGCTTGGCTGCTTCCTGTTGAGGTTTGACAGTAAACAACAGAAACTGCTCCTTGGCTGCTGCAGGAATAACAACAGTAACTAGTAACTGTATCAGTAGCACAGCGGCACTAGTAGCAGTAGTTAGATCAGGGTATATACAGGAATCCTGAAGTAAAATTCTACTTATTTTTAAGACTTCTGCGCCACTTTGAGCTGTAACCAATTAAATCAGCCGCACACTTTTAAAAGGGACATTTGTGAGGTTTTAAAAGGAATTGAAGTATATGTAGAACATATTAATTGCCTGTATGTCACCAGGTTGTAACGCCACCTAAAAACTGAGGCATTCACCAACTTTCTCAGTTGCCTGTAACGGCCTGTACGGGCCAACTGTTCTCTATGTGAAAGCAGCTGTGTTACAAAAGCTATGAGGTTTCTGTACGCAATATTACAGCAAACCATGTGAAACACAGAGTCATTTGGTGTTTTAGCTGGTTTAAACTAGATAATGTGAGCTTGCCTGCAGTGATGTGTGTAACAACTTTGATCGACCGCCTGATCAATACAGCAACATTCAAACAGGTGATGAATAAATAAGTAGTGTAGGCGCTGCAGCACAGGCACAACCTGGAGGAGGAACCGCTCTCAATGGCTGGATTAGTAGAATATTAGAACATTAAATTAAAAGTATTTTGTTCATTTAATAGTAAACTTTAAGTTTGATATTTTCATCATGTTACTACATTCAATATAATTTCATATAATAGTATATTTTAAATAGCCAGCTAACGTTAACCAAACCCACACGCTCCTTGAACTTTCCCTGTTGTCTTCCGTCTTACCGATTCAGCTGCTGGCGGCGCATCTCACTCTTGTTTTTCAGGGCTGTTCAAGCGGCCGCAGAGCGACCGGCCAACCGGGTTAATCCTGTTACTCCCGATCGCCACTCCGACTATGTTTTGGACGATTAACATTGCGGGTCTGGCGGGGTGGGAGATTACAGTCGGCTGTATTCCTAAATCATTTTCCGGTCCGCATGGATCTATTTTTTGGAGCGTTTAAGAGTGAAACAGGCGCTCGGTTGATCCCTGCGCCTCATTTTACAGAAAGGAATCACAGTCGCTCCTCTCGGCCTGTCCAGTAGTTTTGGCTACGCATTATAAATAAATACGTTTATCTACACTTTTAGCAAACAAACTTTTTGAAAAACAGGATTTTCACATTGAAAAAAATTATATTCAAAATTTAATACCTTGTTTAATGGCGATTAAAATTTTTTAATACTTTTTAAGGGCCTTAATTTTTGCAAAATTGATTTATCACCTTTTAAGACTTTTTAAGACCCCACGGACACCCTGTAGCTATACTAGCACTAGTAGCATAGCTGCACTAGTAGCAGTAGTTAGCTATACTAGCACTAGTAGCATAGCTGCACTAGTAGCAGTAGTTAGCTATACTAGCACTAGTAGCATGGCAGCACTAGTAGCAGTAGTTCGCTATACTAGCACTAGTAGCATAGCTGCACTAGTAGCAGTAGTTAGCTATACTAGCACTAGTAGCATAGCTGCACTAGTAGCAGTAGTTAGCTATACTAGCACTAGTAGCATGGCAGCACTAGTTAGCTATACTAGCACTAGTAGCATAGCTGCACTAGTAGCAGTAGTTAGCTATACTAGCACTAGTAGCATAGCTGCACTAGTAGCAGTAGTTAGCTATACTAGCACTAGTAGCATGGCAGCACTAGTAGCAGTAGTTAGCTATACTAGCACTAGTAGCATGGCAGCACTAGTAGCAGTAGTTAGCTATACTAGCACTAGTAGCATAGCGGCATTAGTAGCAGTAGTTAGCTATACTAGCACTAGTAGCATAGCGGCATTAGTAGCATAGCGGCATTAGTAGCAGTAATTAGCTATACTAGCACTAGTAGCATGGCAGCACTAGTAGCAGTAGTTAGCTATACTAGCACTAGTAGCATAGCGGCATTAGTAGCAGTAATTAGCTATACTAGCACTAGTAGCATGGCAGCACTAGTAGCATAGCGGCATTAGTAGCAGTAGTTAGCTATACTAGCACTAGTAGCATGGCAGCACTAGTAGCAGTAGTTCGCTATACTAGCACTAGTAGCATAGCTGCACTAGTAGCAGTAGTTAGCTATACTAGCACTAGTAGCATAGCTGCACTAGTAGCAGTAGTTAGCTATACTAGCACTAGTAGCATGGCAGCACTAGTTAGCTATACTAGCACTAGTAGCATAGCTGCACTAGTAGCAGTAGTTAGCTATACTAGCACTAGTAGCATAGCTGCACTAGTAGCAGTAGTTAGCTATACTAGCACTAGTAGCATGGCAGCACTAGTAGCAGTAGTTAGCTATACTAGCACTAGTAGCATGGCAGCACTAGTAGCAGTAGTTAGCTATACTAGCACTAGTAGCATGGCAGCACTAGTAGCAGTAGTTAGCTATGGCAGCACTAGTAGCAGTAGTTAGCTATGGCAGCACTAGTAGCAGTAGTTAGCTATGGCAGCACTAGTAGCAGTAGTTAGCTATACTAGCACTAGTAGCAGTAGTTAGCTATACTAGCACTAGTAGCAGTAGTTAGCTATACTAGCACTAGTAGCATAGCGGCATTAGCAGCAGTAGTTAGCTATACTAGCACTAGTAGCATAGCTGCACTAGTAGCAGTAGTTAGCTATACTAGCACTAGTAGCATAGCTGCACTAGTAGCAGTAGTTAGCTATAGCGGCACTAGTAGCAGTAGTTAGCTATACTAGCACTAGTAGCATAGCGGCATTAGTAGCAGTAGTTAGCTATACTAGCACTAGTAGCATGGCAGCACTAGTAGCAGTAGTTAGCTATACTAGCACTGGTAGCATAGCGGCATTAGTAGCAGTAGTTAGCTATACTAGCACTAGTAGCATGGCAGCACTAGTAGCAGTAGTTAGCTATACTAGCACTAGTAGCATAGCGGCATTAGTAGCAGTAGTTAGCTATACTAGCACTAGTAGCATAGCGGCATTAGTAGCATAGCGGCATTAGTAGCAGTAATTAGCTATACTAGCACTAGTAGCATGGCAGCACTAGTAGCAGTAGTTAGCTATACTAGCACTAGTAGCATAGCGGCATTAGTAGCAGTAGTTAGCTATACTAGCACTAGTAGCATGGCAGCACTAGTAGCATAGCGGCATTAGTAGCAGTAGTTAGCTATACTAGCACTAGTAGCATGGCAGCACTAGTAGCAGTAGTTAGCTATACTAGCACTAGTAGCATGGCAGCATTAGTAGCATAGCGGCATTAGTAGCAGTAGTTAGCTATACTAGCACTAGTAGCATGGCAGCACTAGTAGCAGTAGTTAGCTATACTAGCACTAGTAGCATGGCAGCACTAGTAGCAGTAGTTAGCTATACTAGCACTAGTAGCATGGCAGCATTAGTAGCATAGCGGCATTAGTAGCAGTAGTTAGCTATACTAGCACTAGTAGCATGGCAGCACTAGTAGCAGTCGTTAGCTATACTAGCACTAGTAGCATGGCAGCACTAGTAGCAGTAGTTAGCTATACTAGCACTAGTAGCATGGCAGCACTAGTAGCAGTAGTTAGCTATACTAGCACTAGTAGCATGGCAGCACTAGTAGCAGTAGTTAGCTATACTAGCACTAGTAGCATGGCAGCACTAGTAGCATAGCGGCATTAGTAGCAGTAGTTAGCTATACCAGCACTAGTAGCATGGCAGCACTAGTAGCAGTAGTTAGCTATACTAGCACTAGTAGCAGTGATGACAGTAGGTGACAGCAGCGTGTGCTGCAGGTGTTGCTGGGATCACAGCAGTACACGCTCGCTGTCTGAAAGTACACAACTGTAGTAGTAGAAATGGTATCAGTGTCTCACCAAAGGCTGTAGGCGACATCTCCTGCATGATGGCTCTGTACTCCAAATGATGACGACTCTGATTACTGGGACCTACACACACACACACACACACACACACAGGAACACCTGAGTCAGTTGTTTCTGGTCGGTCACATGGTCACTGGGTGGTGATGGAGCAGTGGATAAGACACATGCCTTTGGTGTGAGAGACCTGAGTTCAATTCCCGCTGTGACACGTCCACCAATGTGTCTCTAAATGTCGTGCGGTGGTTGAGAATGTGTTACTATTATTATTCTTACCTGGCGCGCAGGGCGAGGGGGGTTTGCTCAAGATGAGGGCGGCTCCGGCAGGGGAGGGGGGCTTGTTGTTGGTCGACGGGGCGGTCGTGAGGTCAGAATGGGTGGGGTCAGAGTCGCGCTGCCGCGGCGACCGGGCGCTCCAGTCGTCTGGCCCGCTGGAAGCCGCCGCCGTCGCCGAGCTGCAGGTGGCGCTCGCCTTACGGGGCTGAAAGTGAAAAGACGCTCACGTTATTAATGTTCTTCAGGCTCGGGCCGGGCGGGGCGCCGGGCGGCAGACTTCCTGTAAAGAAACGCGTGCTGACAGCGTGTTGCTAGTGACATCAGCAGGTACGTTTACATGCTGTTCAATGTGCTAACAGCTAATTAGCTAACTAGCCTGTGGCTGAACAGGCGGCAGGTACAAATGGTTTTTAAAGTTACACTGCAGCTCGCCGTCCCCCCCCCCACGTACCTGTCTGGCCTGCTTCTCCTGGTCCTGGAGCCACTGCAGGTAGGACTCTCGGGCCACCTGCTCCTCGATGGCCTCGTTGGTGGCCTCCCAGTCCGTCGCTCTCTTCTTGTCCTCCAACATCTGCTGTTCGATCCACGACTCCTCCGAGGTCTTGATGGCCGACTTCATCAGAGACTGGTCCGCGTACTGAAGGGGGGGGCGGAGGAAATCCACCGTCAGTAAACACACACACACACGCACACGCACAAGTATTAAGTGTGTCTGGTGTTGGTACCCCGGGTTTGAAGGCGGGCAGTCCTAGGCCGACCCCGATCGTGGCCTTGTTGGGGTTCACCACAGAGTTGTAGTGGATGTTGCGGTGGTAGCTCACTCTGATTGGCTCGTCGTTGTTCTGGTGGATGCCGTGGAAGGTGTTGATTGGCTCTGCGGAAGGAGGAGGAGTTTGGGTCAGATTGGCAGGAAGCGATTGGCCGACAGGTCTGGAGGTTGTGACTGGCGGACGGACTCACCTGTGCCGTACTGGTACACCTCCACCGGCCTGTTGTACATCTCAGCCATGGCCTGCATCTCGATGTGGTTCCCGTGGCAGTTGTTTTTCCTCTTCCTGTTGATGTATGTGGTGAAGTCCTCCGTCACGTAGTTGGAGAAATAGTCGGCGTTCTTCATCTGGGAGGAGAAACAACTTTATCACCACAGCGAACTCTGACGAACTGAGGGAGACCCGAGGTGAGCGTGAGGTGCGAGGGACTCACCAGGTAGTCCATACAGTGTTTCCGGACCACTTCGTGCATATCCTGGTCTCCGTACACCTGGTCAGCTGGGAGACAAAGTCCGGGTCAGATGTTGACTGAACACATGTTGCATGATTATGAGATAGCGCGAGCCCTCGCCCACGTCTTTAAAAAGTCTCCACAGATCTACAAGGAAAAAGCCCGTTAACCGTCCCTGCCCGGCTTTTATCCACTTTGTTATTAAAAACATCTCTTCATTAAAGCTCCCACACAAAAAAGCTGCTTTAATGCTCAAACTCAGATCAGCAGTGACAAATAATGATGCCTGTGTATCGCTTTGCACGCCATTTTCGTCCTAATGTGCGCAGGTCTTTACACGGAGCTGAAGGAACCTTTTACTTTAGATCCGTTCCGGGTACTTGTGCTGTGAAATGATCCGTTACAGTCAGGTCCGTTCTGACTAAAGTTATATAGTAAGCAGGACAGATAAACACGAGTGTGCGTGGACAAGGCTCAGCCAGCTCGCCGCCACGCACGGGGGGAGGGCGTGTCCCGGCGTGGGTCGAACCTGATCTGCATTCTCTAAACAGAAATCTGAGCCACAGCTGGTGAAGCGTTTCCACGGCTTCATGCAGAGAGTCTCACGCTGCAGTTTCATTCACTCCACCACAGAGAGCCGCTTCTCCTCCGCTGGAGACAGACTTCTGCTCATCAAGCCGCCGTGGTCAGCGGCTCTCTCTCTTAGTCATCAGCGTGCGGCCGCTTTTCATCACCGCGACCTTTTCAAGGCAGTTCTTTCCCACCCGTTTTCTTCTTCCTCACACATTGACATCGTTTTCAAAAAATCCTGCAGCTGCATTTCAGCCCTCAACACAGTCTGTCAGGTCAAACACCTGAACGCCCCACCTGCAGGAAAACCGCCCAACGCAGCGACGGTGCCATTTCGGATCAGAGAGCGTTGCTGGGAAATAAGTATCACAGCCGTGGTTTAATAAAGTTATGCTGCTCTGAACGGTTCAGACTGCCGAGAGCTTCTGCAGTCAGGAAGCTGTTCCCATCTATCCCAGTCTCTATGCTAAGCTAAGCTAACAGCTGCTGGCTGTAGCTTCATATTCAGCATGAGAGGAGGAGGAGGAGAGGAAGAGGAAGAGGAAGAGGAAGAGGAGGGAGAGGAAGAGGAGGAGGGAGAGGAAGAGGTGAGGGAGAGGAGAGGAGAGGGAGAGGAGAGGGAGAGGAGGAGGAGAGGAAGAGGAAGAGGAGGGAGAGGAAGAGGAGGAGGGAGAGGAAGAGGTGAGGGAGAGGAGAGGAAGAGGAAAGGAAGAAGAGGGAGAGGAAGAGGAGGAGGAGAGGAAGAGGAGAGGAGAGGGAGAGGAGAGGGAGAGGAGGAGGAGAGGAAGAGGAAAGGAAGAAGAGGGAGAGGGAGAGGAGAGGAGGAGGAAGAGGAAGAGAAGAGGAAGAGGAAGAGAAGAGGATGAGGAGAGGAAGAGAAGAGGAAGAGGAAGAGGAAGAGGAGAGGAAGAGATGAGGAAGAGGAGAGCTGCTGCTCACTGAATCGCTGCTCACGCGGCAACAAGATTCACACCTTTGATTGGTCGGCTGTTCTACACAAACACACACAGACTTCCTCCCTGTACGAGAGCGGTATGCAAATGAGCATCACTTTGGTCTGATTTCCAGCAAGTCACATGGTCCGTCACCGCAGTGATTCTCAGAATCACCGTGGCAACTTCCTTTTTCTCACCAGCGAGGTGTGAGTACAAAGTCAGTTAGTCAGAAAGTTATGTGATGTTGTCGATGGAGGTGAAGGAGGTCAAGCTGAGTGACGACACGCACGAACACGAACTCGCACGGCGACGTGATGGGAGATTCCCTCAGTGTATCTGACACCTGCTGCTGATCAGCCATGTGTTGGTTCTGTTCTGAGTATTGGCTTTCAGTGTCCTCCTCCTCCTCCTCCTCCTCCTCCTCCTCCTCCTCCTCCTCCTCCTCCCCCCCCCCTCCCCCTCCTCCTGCCCCCCCTCCTCCTGCCCCCCCTCCTCCTCCTCCTCCTCCTCCTCTCTCCTCCTCCTCCTCCTCCTCCTCCTGCTCCTCCTCCTGCCCCCCCTCCTCCTCCTCCCGACTCACTGGGATCATTAAATAAATAAGTAATTTGCGTCGTTCACTCCTCGGCTGTTTCTCATCAGCACATCACACTCAGCTGTCAGAAGCAGAGCAGTGCATTGTGGGATTGTTTGAGGGCTTCATAGAGCAGAAAGAGTGAATACAGAACGCTGGAAACACGGATCTGTTACTGCGACTGGACTTCATCATATTATCATTTCCCCTGAGCCTGAAGGAAGACGACACGCCGACGTCTCAATGCAAATGAAGAAGTGACTGAAAACACAGAGAGAAGCTTCAGCAGCAGAAACACACCGAGGGAAAATCCCTGCAGATCACCTGCACGCACAGAAATACCCTAAAACTCGAGTTGGCGCCTCCCGTTTCCCGGCCTGCTGTGGGAACACGTTCTGACTAATGAACGCAGGTCTCCATTAGAAGCCTGGTCTGGTTTCTATAGAAGTTCTCTGGACGTCTAAAAGCCGTTAAACCCCGCGGGGTCGCCGCTCAGATCGTCGATACAGATATTAATGTTCCTGATCAGTGTGTCAGTGTGGACACGCTGCACGCCGTTACGTTGCTCAGATCAAATGAAGCACGTGTATTTGATATTATTGGATTATATTCATACAAATAATAATGTGTTTGAAATAAATAAACTGTTTCAGTGAGAGGAGTTAAAGGCCTGCGTAGAGCTGGGCGATACGGACAACCACGTTATCGCCATAGCGATAATTATCACCATAAATGTCAAATCATTACAAACACTCGATGATCACTGAACTAATCTGAATTTAAATAATTATAATAATTATTTTTATTTTAAAAAAAATTAAGCGCTAATTTTTTCGTGATTCTAATGAATTAAACTAAATATTTATTGACGATATATTGAACATTTATCATATTGTTATTGTGATATTTATGATTATTTATTGCCCAGCTCTGGGCCTGTCCCAGATGTAGGCGGGGTCAATTCACACATGAGAGGAGACATGTAGTGGAGGAGGAGGAGGAGAGGACACATGAGAGGAGACATGTAGAGGAGGAGGAGGAGGAGAGGACACGAGAGAGGAGACATGTAGAGGAGGAGGAGGAGGAGGACACATGAGAGGAGACATGTAGAGGAGGAGGAGGAGGAGGACACATGAGAGGACACATGTAGAGGAGGAGGAGGAGAGGACACGAGAGAGGAGACATGTAGAGGAGGAGGAGGAGGAGGAGGAGGAGAGGACACATGAGAGGAGACATGTAGAGGAGGAGGAGGAGGAGAGGACACGAGAGAGGAGACATGTAGAGGAGGAGGAGGAGGAGGAGAGGACACATGAGAGGAGACATGTAGAGGAGGAGGAGGAGGAGAGGACACATGAGAGGAGACATGTAGAGGAGGAGGAGGAGGACACATGAGAGGAGACATGTAGAGGAGGAGGAGGACACATGAGAGGAGACATGTAGAAGACGAGGAGGAGGAGGAGGAGGAGAGGAGACATGTAGAGGAGGAGGAGGAGGAGAGGACACATGAGAGGAGACATGTAGAGGAGGAGGAGGACACATGAGAGGAGACATGTAGAAGACGAGGAGGAGGAGGACACGAGAGGAGACATGTAGAGGAGGAGGAGGAGGAGAGGACACATGAGAGGAGACATGTAGAGGAGGAGGAGAGGACACATGAGAGGAGACATGTAGAAGACGAGGAGAGGACACATGAGAGGAGACATGTAGAGGAGGAGGAGGAGGACACATGAGAGGAGACATGTAGAAGACGAGGAGGAGGAGGACACGAGAGGAGACATGTAGAGGAGGAGGAGGAGGAGAGGACACATGAGAGGAGACATGTAGAGGAGGAGGAGGAGGAGAGGACACATGAGAGGAGACATGTAGAAGACGAGGAGAGGACACATGAGAGGAGACATGTAGAGGAGGAGGAGGAGGAGAAGAGGACACAAGAGAGGAGACATGTAGAGGAGGAGGAGGAGGACACATGAGAGGAGACATGTAGAAGACGAGGAGAGGACACAAGAGAGGAGACATGTAGAGGAGGAGGAGGAGGAGGAGGAGAGGACACAAGAGAGGAGACATGTAGAAGACGAGGAGAGGACACAAGAGAGGAGACATGTAGAGGAGGAGGAGGAGGAGGAGGAGGAGAGGACACAAGAGAGGAGACATGTAGAGGAGGAGGAGGAGGAGGAGAGGACACAAGAAAGGAGACATGTAGAGGAGGAGGAGGAGGAGGAGGAGAGGACACAAGAGAGGAGACATGTAGAGGAGGAGGAGGAGACGAGGAGAGGACACAAGAAAGGAGACATGTAGAGGAGGAGGAGGAGGAGGAGAGGACACATGAGAGGAGACATGTAGAGGAGGAGGAGGAGGAGGAGGAGAGGACACAAGAAAGGAGACATGTAGAGGAGGAGGAGGAGGAGGAGAGGACACAAGAGAGGAGACATGTAGAGGAGGAGGAGGAGGACACATGAGAGGAGACATGTAGAAGACGAGGAGGAGGAGGAGAGGACACATGAGAGGAGACATGTAGAAGACGAGGAGAGGACACATGAGAGGAGACATGTAGAGGAGGAGGAGGAGGAGGAGGAAGAGGAGGAGGAGGAGACGACACAAGAGAGGAGACATGTAGAGGAGGAGGAGGAGGAGGAGGAGAGGACACATGAGAGGAGACATGTAGAGGAGGAGGAGGAGGAGGAGGAGAGGACACAAGAGAGGAGACATGTAGAAGACGAGGAGAGGACACATGAGAGGAGACATGTAGAGGAGGAGGAGGAGGAGGAGGAAGAGGAGGAGGAGGAGACGACACAAGAGAGGAGACATGTAGAGGAGGAGGAGGAGGAGGAGGAGAGGACACATGAGAGGAGACATGTAGAGGAGGAGGAGGAGGAGAGGACACATGAGAGGAGACATGTAGAGGAGGAGGAGGAGGAGGACACATGAGAGGAGACATGTAGAAGACGAGGAGGAGGAGGACACGAGAGGAGAC